GCTCCTTGGATGATGCCAGTGCCCAATCTCTTTCCCACATGCCACGTTTCTCTTTCTCCACCCACACATTTCTGACTCCACTTCTCAGGAGTTAAACTCATCATCTAATCCACATGTTTGTCCCTCCTGTACTTTTATTATTTTTTAATGTGCCACTATCTACACTGTTCTGCTGCTCATATCTAAGCAAAAAATACAGACATAACTTGGGAGTTGTGGTCTGCATTCAATTGCACTAAATCTTACAATCCCGTCGTTCCTCACCAGCCCTTATGTATACACAAGTTCTTTTCTGATTAATTGCAATAAGTTAAAAACCTTATCTCTGGGTTTACCAACTGCCAGCCACAAAAATAATCTGCTAATATACAGGCCCAAACAAGAATCTGACTGCTTAAGTCTCTCGGGCACCATGATTCATGTTCTGGCTCAGTTCCCACTACTTGCCTTCATGCACCCCACATTTTTGCCATTCTAGCCTACTTAAAATACTCCAAACAAAACAAGATGTCTCCATGTTTCTGTCAAGGTTTTCCCCTCTTTCTTACCCTATTCCAGTGGGTAATTTCCCACTCTTCTTTAAAGCTACTATAGAATCTTTTATATTCTTTCCTAGGTGAATTAATAATTTAGCTCTTATAATTTGTTGACACATAGGGTCAACTTGAAAAGTCTAGAAGCTTAACTAAGAAACTCAGCATTACTACATCCTAGGCATAGAGAAATCCTCTCACCACTCTAGGATATTGTTCATTTTGTCAGTCTGCAAGTAACTAAGTAACTCAGCAGGAGGCCAGAGACCTCACTTTGTAAACATCCTGAGCCTGTGGAAGAGTAGGGCCTAGGGCGCAGAGAGGTGTGAGTGCTACACTCACTCACCCAAGGGTAGGCAGCCTGCATACAACATAAGGGAGGGAAAAAGATGTGCTTTCTCTCTCATTTTGCTTTTGTTGTCTTCTTCTGCCTTGAACTGTTGCCTCTCACCAGGCCATAGAGTCGACTGATTACAGACTGAAACCTCCACAAACTGTGTGCTGAATAAACCTTTCCTTCCTTAATTTGGGGGGTTGGATATTTTGTCTCAGCAACAAGAGAAAAATAACCAAGATTGCTCTGAATTCTCATTTCTCTCTCTCTCTCTCTCTCTCTCTCTCTCTCTCTCTCTCTCTCTCTCTCTCTCTCTCTCATTTGGTACCAGTGATTGAATTCATGACCTTGCACTTACCAAGCAAGTGCTTGAACTGTTGAACTAAATCCCCAGCCTGCTCTGAATTCTTGTAGCCATTTGAATTCATATACAATTTCTCATTGTAATAAGTAGAATAGGTTAACTGCAATGATACATTGTCCCTAAAATGGATAATGCTCCAAAAACAGTAGATCTTTACTTCTTGACCACTTAGTCTTAAGTAAATGGATAGGTCCTGGAATGGCCCTCCTGCATGCTCTCATTCAGAAATCAAGGCTAATGGCGGCTTTGCCAGCTTTAATGACTAAAACTGTAATTTCTCTGAGCCTACTTCCTTCTCAAGTAGACCTGTGTCAAAAGCATGAGGAGGGCATGTAGATTTTCATGAACCAGGCCTACAGGTAGTACACATTACTTCTATCAGCTAAAACTCAGTTTCAACTACCTTAAATGCATAGAAAGCTTGGAAATATTATGTAGATGTATGGTCAAGATGAGAAGTTGGTAGCATTGGGATCAGTTAGCAGTCTGTCACATTCATGTTGAGTATTAGAGTGACTGTGTCTGAAAAGGAAAAATATGTTCTACAGTATAGCCTTACAGGGCAGCCCTTGGCATCTGGTAGGATTTATATAAGTGTGTGTACATGTGAATGAATAAAAGCATGAAGTGATAAGAGTACTACTTTGAATTTCTCCATTGTTGGTGGGCCTGGAAAGTGATACAACCACTATGGAAATCAGTATGGTGATGTCTCAAAAAATTAACAGTAGAAATTCCATTTGACCAACTTATTTTGCTTCTAGGAATTTTCTTAAAAGAGTTAAGTGGTGTTTGCATATTCATGTTTACAGCAGCGCAATTCATAATGGCTAAATTTTGGAAACTGTCTATATCTCCATCAATAGATGAATGGATAAAAAAGAGGTATTTATACACAATGGAGTACTACTTTGCCATAAAAGGAGAAATGAGTCATTTTGAGGAAAATGAATGCATCTGGGACCATACTGTTATGTGAACTAACTCAGACACATAAGCTTAAATATCACATGACCTTATATGAAAGTCTTTATATGTACATGAATATAGTATAGAAGACAGACAATAAAAAAAAAAGGAAAAAAGGTATTATAATCCAGAGTAGGCAAAGTATCTAGAAGTGTACCTTGGTTTAATACAATTGTTTCACATATTTTATATATTCTCTGGTACTTGTCTGGTTTTCAATCTGTAAATATTATAATTTATAAGGCCTTATATATAAATGAATCTGATGATGGAGGGTGGTGGGATGGAGGGGGAAAGAAAGGAATTCAAATGTGTTATGTGGATATACCAATCCCCCACAGTGAACATAATCACTCTTCACTGTTTTTTAGATGTATTAATAAAATTAATTAATAACATTAGATGTACTAATAAAAGTTATTTACTAATTAATAAATTTAGATGTACTAATAAAAAGCAATATTCTATGTACTATGAAAGTAAAAAAAAAAAAAAATGAGCCCAGAATAGAAAATTTGTGTTTTTACCCTTACATTTCTCCTTTAGTCTAACAATGTTTCTAAAACACACAAAAGTAAGCATTAGTCATGGTTGATGGATCTTCAAAACTAATACTGTTGACCTAATTAATTTAGGCATTTTAAATTGCTTAATTAGTTGCAAAGTTCATGGATAGCAATTAAATTGAAAACAGATATACACAAGACATTTATGTGAGAAATGGCAATAATTGCTTCATGCAACTTGTATATTCTTATCTATTCTTAGAATTAAATTGAATTTTTAGTTTAATATCTTCTGTGTTAATATAACATAAAAGTACTTAATGGGTTGAGCATCTTGGTTATAATTATGAAACGTCAAATTTCTTAGGAAATACAAACATGTAGACATCTTCCTTAAATACATAGTTCTGACTGAAAATTACAATATAACAAAATGCACAGCATGTTTGCTGATTATCATTTATAGTTTTAAATATTATCAAGTATCCAGGATCTATATCTGATATTTCATTGTCTTTTTATAATATGAGAATTATTTTTGTCTATGTCTTCAGTCTCTTGATTAATGGTTCTACAGGCACAAATTTTCCAGCAGTGGTGGTCAAGTCCTTGTTGGACCTTGAATTTCTCTGACTTACTCCTCCACCACATATCTAACTTCGCTGTCAGCCTAGAGAAATCTGTTTTTAAAGTTGCATCTAATTACATTACGTTTACCCAGATAAGCCAAGATACCAACCCTTTCTTTGGGTTAAATTTAGGAACCTTAGTGATACTTGTCATATAAAGTCACTTTTGCCATATAAAGCAGGGTATTCACAGGCATGACACCAGGGATGGAAGCTCTTGGGGTGAAGATTCTCTCTGCCACAGTGAAACTATACTGTATAACACATAAAATATCCCACATAAATATGGGCAATTATACTCCTTTCCAAAAGATTTAGGGGATAAAATAATTCTTACTTATTATTAAAACTATTGCAGACATTGAAGAAGGTATAAATTAATATAAATATTCACACATTCATGATTGACAAAGTATAAAATTCAAAATATATAGAGTAAAAACGTGGAACCCTATGATTGGCATACATTGTTTATCTCAGATATTACAAACATGGTTAAAGAGCTTCATGAATGTTAAAAACCTGGACTTATTCAGGTATGATGACTGTAATCCCAGCACTGGAGCCTAAAGCAAGAAGATTATGAATTCAAGGTTAGCCTGGGCCACAAAGAGTTCAGGGTCAGATTGTAGAACAAGATCCTGTCTCAAAAAAAAGTTTTTTAAAAAGAATTTACCTGTTATTTGAGGAGAATGGGCTTTTGATAATAAAAATGGGTGTATCTGCTGAATGCTTACTTTGTACAGTGCACTGCATTACTAAGCTTTGTGTACACACACACACACACACACACACACACACACACACATCTGTCTTCTCAGCAATGCAGCAGTATTGAAATCATTCCTGCCTCAAATTAAGTGAGCATAGAGGTAGTGGAAGGTCCAGGTGGGTTGCCTACTCCTTAAATTTATAGGAATCAGTTAACAATTTGTCCCTCGCCAGGAAAGGATGGAGCAGTTCAACAGTGTAATGATGGAATAAAAAGATAAGGGTTTTAGAGTTGATCTGTATTTGAATGCTGATTTCAACACTTGGAAAATTCCTCAGGCCCTTTGTGTCTCTAGTTCCTAATTTGTAAAGTATAGCTGATAACAGACTCCTCATGGGACTGTGGCAAGATAATATGTGTGAAGAGCCCAGTATGTGATAAGCTCTAGATAAATGTTCTCCAATACCTTCTTCCTAGTGCAGCTAACATGTATTTGATTCTAACATACTTGAATAACTCAGGAAGTCAGTTCTGGGATCAAGCCAACCTCTAGTTGGTTGTCATTTAACAGACTTTGAGCCCCACCTTGGTGATCAGATCTGTTGGATGGATCCCTGTGGGTCCAAGTCCATATGTGGTACACATATATGGATCATTTGGTAAGGTTGTCACAAGATAACCTATAATCAGTGACTGTCAACATCATGTGTACACTAGGCAGTTAAGAGGTGCCAATTTAGCAGGGGACTTTCTTGGCATTCGTCAGAGGAGCCACATGCCAGAATGTTCTAGTGGCTCTTGAATTAAAGTATTTATGTGCATTGTTTTTGATGGCTCTAATCAGACTTGAAATTAATCCAAGACATTTCTGTAACTCAAAGATGTTAATCCCTCACTGTCCTCTCCCTCCAGGCTAAGTCTGAAGACTTAACTCAGCTACCTTATCTCTCTAGGTATGTGGAGACCAAAGCCAAGGGGCTGTTTTCCTGAGAGAATTTACACTGATTCGAAGAGAGAGCCTTCATGAAGATTTTCTGTCTGACCTCTTGAATAATCATAAAACTGAAGACTCGGTACAGTGTCTCTTCTCTTTATTCATTGAAACACAGAGGTTCAGTGGCTGATTCTGACTTGTTGAGGTGGTGGTTGATTTTCACAGATCTGAAAGGTTTTAGTGGAGTTTTCTCATATCCTTGAGAACAGGGTGAGGCAAAAGGGTAGGGTGGGGACAGCATATGAGACAACTTCTAGAGTTCCTGGTTCTGACAGATTTAAAGTATTTTACTCTAATGTTGAAGTTTCGGGAAGCATGTGGAGAATTCACTTTAAAACACCTGATGTGTTTCCAGTGAGTATAAACAAGAAATGGTGAGAATTTAAATTAGTGAACAAAAAAGGAGATTTATATGTAAAACTGAGATTGTTTTACAGGTCAATAGAAATTCCACTATCGTCTATTTATAGTTTCTTTGTGGATATTTTTACTTCAAAGTGTTAGTCATATTTATTTTTGTGCAAGTTTGTTTCTCTGATGATGGTTTTGAGAAAGGAAGAAAGCAAATGAACTCTTAAATGAAAACAAATAGTATAGTTGACTGACAGTATCAAGATACACACCCCTCTCTTCCTGCAAATCAAACTGTGATCTGTAATTGGTACTTCATTATGAGACTTGGATTGGTGATTTTTGAACAGTCTAATGTGGCTCATATGGCAATAACTTTGTGCTCAAAACTATTCACATGGTGTACACAAGCCAGTGGGATTCTTGTTCAATCATAAAATAGTAGAATCACAAGAAAAACAATGCCTTAGAAGCATCAAAGCAAGCATGTGATTTTGTGTCTACCTCTTCTCCTGTTTTCTTACTGTTTTCTCTCAAAAGGGTGTTTTTGTATAGTTATGTCATATTCTTCTCTGCTAGCCAATAAGTAAATTGGTCATTCAGTTGCTATTCACAAGCCACTCCTTATTGGTTTTGTCCTTTATGCCTTCTCTAAGATGGGCATGCATATTTTTCTAAAGCTTGTAGTCCAGGATGGACAGAAACACTGGCAAAATTCCCCACAGGTATGATATAATTTTCATATAATGCATGTATAATTGTTTTACTTCATTGAGCTATGAAAATTCAGAACTTACTTTAATACTCTTGTTATTTGCCCAAAGCTTTCTTTGTGACCTACTATGGTACATATACTTTGCTACCTAAATTGTTTTTGTTTCTCCTGGTGAACAATATCGTGGCAGTTATATTTTAATTTTGTCCCATTTGCTGTTATACAAAGTGTGAAATATGTTAGCTAACATTGGATTTGGTTTTTGCAAAGTCCTGGCAAGTGCTGCTTGTGGATGCTACATGAAACTTCATAAGCAACTCTAATTATTACATCATTTATACAATAAAGGAAATTAAGTCATACAAACAAATTATAAACATGACAGAATTAGTCACAGTAGTTACATCCACTAGAAACAGTTGCTGTCACTGGCACAAACATTCTCATTTTATACAATTACACACCAGAAGAAAACTTTTCATACTATTAAATCCACTCATTTCTACTGAGTTCACAAGTAAATCAGTGTGGAAACATTTTTCTTAAGGAGGAAATGCCTACCTGCACAAGTAATTAAAACTACGGTTGTGCAATAGAAGGTGAGGGAGAAGATCAAAATTTCCTAAATACCGGAAGGTAATGTAGCCTCCTCATGAATTTGTGAAATTCTTATGATTTCTGTGGGGGATGGCCGATAACATGCAAAATTTTATAAAAGTATAACTTCATCTTCTAGGTAGACATGAAGAAGAGGAATCACCATAATCTCTGTGTTTCTTCTAGAGCAAGAGTTCAAACATTCTTTTCATGCCCTTGTTTTTAAGTTTCCATCCATAGTGAGGAGCCACTTCAGTGGAAAAGGAGAATCACAAAAACCACTTGGCAAAGGCAGGTGGCCAAGATAGAAAGAAATAATTGAGGAACATACTCTGAACAATTCTATATGCTTTCCAGTTCATCCCACCTAGTACCCCAAAGACATTTTTTTTTGTCTTTTTCATTTTTATCGGTACCAGGGTTCGAACTCACGACTGCCTGCTTGCAAGGCAGGTGCTTATGCTGCTGAGCTAAATCCCCAGCCCCCCCAAAGACATTTATACCCATATGTCGCCACCTCTGCCTCTCCTTCTTGGGACAGGGTTCATATGTTGATTTTCACCTCAGTAGCATCTGGCCCAGCAGTTGTGTGTGATATGTGCTAAACTGAGCCAAGAGTTTGTGGACAGAGAAAATCCACCAAGCCTATTTTCTATCACTCTGCTGCTGTTCTCTTTGTATGGTGAAAATGTTGTAAGAATTCTACCACAAAATATGCAGGAAGGGTGACTTGTGAATGTGAAAATCTTTCTAAATATGAAACATTTTTGTTAAAATAGCATGAATTTCAGTTTTTAGTGAGTTGATAAAAGAACATTTCAAGTTATCTGTCATGATAGCATTTCAAGTCAATATACAGTTTTATCAAAAAATAATGTGAATTCACTGTTTACCAACTGGAAATCCATAGTTTTGAAAGTTACAGATTTATCCTAATACATAGAAAATTTATACAACAGGACCATTAACTATATGATGTACTTTGTTACACTTCTGAATAACATTATTGCTATTTTTTTCAGAAGATAGTTTTTATTTAAATTTAATTGAAAATTTTCTTCTCTCATACCCTTTCTTCATTAAATATTTTTAGAAAAACAATCTTTCAAAATTTCAAATAAGTTTTGAAAACTGGAAAAGTCTGATTTACCTTCTTTATAGAACTTTTTCACTTCAAGTTTAATTTAGTTTGATCATAAATGGAATTTTGGCCTTAAAGTGACACTCCTTCAATTTCTCCTCAACCAGGGCTGCTAGCTAGATTTCTCTCAGTAGGCTGATTTGGTTCACTGAACTCTGAGAAGCAGTCTAAGCTAGTCATTTGTCTAAAAGGCCCAGCAGGCAACTTTATTTCTAATCATTGCCTGAAACTCTTGCTTGTATGCACTTTGCATTGTTTGCAGAGAAGAAATAGGCTGTTTTCAAAGCCCGTTATGCATTATTGGAATAGTCAAAAAACAGAGCATGTTGGTTGGCTTTGGCTGTCAGCTAGATACAACATCAGGATAATAATTAGCATGCAATTCATTATAGAATGGGATATTCTTCAGTATGTAATAAGTGCAAACCTCAAGTGCCGATAGAGTAGCTCTTAAATTGGATATTTTGAATTCTATTAAATACTGATAGAACAGAAAAATTGTTAACGTATTTATACCAGGAAAACTGTTCCTTTGAATTACTGGTAAAACAAAAGTGTCTTTTATGGAATAAGATGAATTTTGGTAGAGGGTATCTTCAAAAATGTCTGTAAATGGATAGTTTTTTTTTTTTTTTCTAGAGAAAGTCATTAACTGACACATGCTCAGCTGAAACTAAAAACTATAATCTCTTAAAAATGGTTCAACTTAAATTATTTTTTTCTCCCTCATATCCAGGGTAGAGAACTACTGTGTGGTGGAGAATAGTATTTCTACATACTGAAATATTATTTCAAGGAACACATATGTAAAATGCTCTAAAACTAGGGGCTGGGAATTTAGCTCAGCGGCATAAGTGTCTGCCTTGTAAGCAGGCAGTTGTGAGTTCGATTCCTGGTACTGATAAAAAGGAAAAAAGACCAAAAAAAAAATGCTCTAAAACTATTTCTGGGTGTCCTTTGGGTGCTCAACAAACTCTTCCCCCACCTCAACAAGGGAAAGGAAATGTAATTTAACTGTAATACCTGAAGATAATAGCTTAATTTTCTTAAATATATTTAAGAAAATACATGAGTGCTATGCTAGAATATTTAGTAGACCTGAATGCAGGGAAGGTAGTTGCATGTCAAAAGCATTTAAGTTACTGAAGAGCAATGTGTGATGCTTTTGACAGCTTCCAAGCTGAATTCATTCACTGCATTCCTGACAGAGTTGTCTTTTTCCAAAACAAAAGCTTGCATAAGTATTATCCTTATGGATTAGAGACAACTAACATTTTGTTGCAAATGTACAAATACTCAAAGTGTCTATTGATTCATAATCCATAGACTAGTAGTTAACCACAATTTTAAAATTTTTATTAGTACACATTTAGAGTACATAATAATTACATTCATCATGGAAAACTGGTACATATACATAATTCATCATAATTTATTTTATGTCCCCTTTCTTTAACCATCCTCCCCCAACCATAGTTTGTTAATTGATTTTGACCAAAAGAAAAAAGTACGTTGAAAGGGCCAAATGTTTTCAATGTAGAAGTATCTTCCGATTCAATTTTTGGTTTCATGATTCTTGGGGAAATATGTAGAGGCAAAATGATTACATCTGGTTCACTTCATACTTGGTATGTTGTGTTATACATGACTTCATAAAGAAAAAAATCAGAACACCTTGCAGTGTATGAAAATATGTATCACCCTATGAGTTTAAAAATTACTATTCTCTCCATAGACTTGCATGGTTTACCTAATGTGTTATGAGGCTAAGAGTCATGATATACTTTTATCTATATTTTTAAACTCTGTATATGAATATATTATATAACTTCATATTTTATAGAGACTTTGTATCCTACACTAATACTTTACATCATTTCTGTGTTTGTATAGGAAGACACAAGCAGCTGAAGAAGACCAAATTATATAAGGTACCTTGCTAAAGGAATTATATATATGCCTTAGAACAACCTAAGGAAGGCAGGAACTTCATTTTGCAATAGTAATAACCATTAGAAAATGAAATTTTAGAAAGCTACCACTAATAGTAGTAGCAGAGCTATAAGAATTTAGATCTGTAAGAGACACAGATCTCAAATGAAAAGGTGTATGTCAATTCAGACCCTGTTAGTCACTTGACTACAAATGAAACCAATGAAACCAATCATTAATTCTGGGTAAGAAAAGCAAAATGGGTTTAAATAAGAGAATGAAAAATAAGAGGAGAAGAAGAAAACAAAAATCACACGTCTTTGAAATAGCAGATCTTATTTAC